CAATGTGCAAAAGCATGTCAGAATTACGTTAAAAATTTTAGTTACGTAGGATGTACCATTTTTGTGCCTACTTTTTATAGCAATGAATAAAAAAATCCTTCCGATTTTATAGAGTTTTCATTAGCACGTAAAAAAAATCGAAGGAGATCGACATATAATAAATAAATAAAATAAATATAAATATGTTAGGACATTAACACACAACACCATCTAGTTCCATGGTAAGCTACGAGGCTTGTGTTATGGATACCAGATAGTTGATACGTTATACATATATAACTTTTAAATACATACATATTATAAATAAAAACACCCATGACTGGAGTACAAACATTCGTGCACAACACAAAAATGAATGCCCCCAGCGGGATTCGAACCCGCGACCGCTAGCGCAACAAGAATGGTCACTACAAACTGAGCCAAACGTGTCGTCAATACTTTTATTGCCATAACATTTGAGCAAAGCTGTGGAAGCTAGAAGTAAATAAAATAGATATTAATTGTTCTTAAAATACTCCATCTTACAACTGTATGAAATGATAAAAGAAAACTCTGTAGTGTCCTGCATTTTCTCCCAAGAGTAGGATTGTACACGACATATGGGGTGGAAAAACCAGCGCTAATACAACTTTCCTACTATCAATCGTGAACACACGATTCTTATGTTTTAGGCAATGAAAATAGCGTTGAATTGATAATATTATAAATATATTATCAAAATCTAGTAACTTAAGTAGGTAAATTAATAATTATATATAATCTTTGTAAATTTTAAATGTTTACTTAATTATTAATAAAAATATAAATAACTGACATTTTTTTAGATAGTAAATGTATGGTAAGAGGTTAATAAAAATTATTTAATACTAGCGACTCACCCTCGCTCCGCTCGGGTTCGTCCCTGGGGTGGGGTCTGGGAGGACCACCCTTATCCTTATCACTTAGGGGTATGAAAAATAGATAGTAGCCGATTCTCAGACCTACTGAATACGCATATAAAATTTGGTAAAAATCGGTAAAGCCGTTTCGGAGGAGTACGGTAACTAACATTGTGACATGGAAATTTTATATATAAGACTAGCGGACCCGACAGACGTTGTCCTGTCTACACGTCTTTAATTTGAAAATTTCAAACTTTTTTTAATATATTATTTTCTATTAAAAAAATTGTGAATCTAAACCATTCCCAGATCCCCTTGAACACACACAAAAAATTTCATCAAAATCGGTCCAGTCGTTTGAGAGAAGTTCAGTGACATACACACTCACAGAAGAATTATATATATAAAGATAGTCTATCTTCATCCGCGTGTCGTCAATCGTCAACCACAGGGAATTTAGAACATTGCAAATTTAAAAAAAAAGTTAGCATAGCCAAATATTTCGTTAAAGGGTCAGCCACCCTCTAACATCATATTGTCGCTTTGTTATCAACCTATAAAGCTTATAGTAATGAATATTATAAAGCTGAATAAATTTGTTCCTTACTTTGTACGGTTTACTCTAATCGTTCGCGCAGTACTCGTAGTTTCATATCAATTAGACATGAAAAAATATTTTTGCATTGTATAGGCTAACTAACATAGCACTACGACATTTAAAAGTTGGCGGCGCAGCGGGCAAAAACTATAGAGATTAAAACGTATTGTATTCTTCAATCGCGTTTTCCATGGCCATTCCCAAAGATCCTACACACAAGGTGTCTCCATTTGTCACGTCAGCGGATCATTTAGTTGATATTTTACAGACGTTGCCGGAGTGATTACCGTGGACAATCGACTGAGTGGACGCTGAAGCCTGGATGTATTTCATGCGTTAATGGTAACTGTGTTGCTAGATACAAAAAGTAATGGTGACCAAAATTTGTTATGAAAAGATCTTATAAATAATTTTTATTTCTGTTATACATAAGGAATAAGAAAAAGCTTGTTGTGTGTTGTTTATTGACTGAGTCTCATTTTTAAAATAATTAATTTAATGTTATGTTGTATATGATATACTTACATTATGTATTCCAATATCTATATATATAAAAGAAAGTCGTGTTAGTTACTTCGCTTATAACTCAAGAACGGCTGAACCGATTTAGCTGAAAATTGGCAGGGAGGTAGTTTAGAGCCAGGAGAAGGACATAGGATACTTTTTATCCCGTTCGACCGCGTTCCAATTTTTATGATATTTTAATTTTTGGATTTCTCTTAGTCCGGAATAGGTAAGTATTAAAACATATAATTAAAATGTGAGAAAGAAAGATTTTTTCTTTTTATATCTATTTAAAACGTACCTAGCGACGAACCCGAGCGAAGCGAGGGTGAGCCGCTAGTATAATATAAAACGTGCCTGATATACGCATATCTATACTTAATATTATAAATGTGAAAGTTTATGAATATGGATGTATGGATGTGAAAGAGTTCACGCCAGTACGGCTGATCGGATCTGGATGAAATTTGGCACAAAGATAGATTATAGTCTGGAATAACACATAGGCTTTTATCCCGGAAAAATGTACGGTTCCCGTAGGATATGTTTGTTAAATGAATTGAATATAATATAAAAGTTTCAGCGGTTTTGCGTAATTGTTCAAAACTCGTTAATAATATAATATTTGAACTTCCAAATTTAACAAAAACTCGCCCAAATTTTCATTTCAAAAATGTTTAAATTTTTATGTTTGCATGTACCTACCTACTTGTGTCCAATATATGTATATCTTTGATATACTTAAAAACTTAAAAAAAATCTTATGTTCAAGTACCTAATAATATAAGCCATTTAATATTTTTTATCAATCTTCACTGATCCGTAATATTACGAAATTCCAAAATATTTTTATTTACATATATGAAAAATAAACAATTTTCCAAACAAGGAAATAAGTCAACAAACGCTTGGTCACGGCCACAATCTGTATTCAGTGGGAAAGCAGCAGCTGAAGTGTCTAAACGCAGATGACGTGGCGGAATTCACAACTTCACAGCTTTATTGCGGTTCTTATGCTATATCTTTGTTATATTAAATAAATACTCTTCAAGAAGTACTTATATAACGTTAAAATTTATTATTTATACATATAATAAAATTGTAACTCAGCCAAACCTGTACATTAAATATTTTTTGGAAAATCTTATTGAAATAGACATTATTATCGATACAGAGGCCGAATCTATAGTTTTTAGAACTTTTGTCTGTCTGTCTATCTGTCTGTCTGTTACCGCATCACAGAAAAACCACCGGAGGGATTTTCATGAAATTTGGTATGGTGATAACTGGTTATCCGGGTCAACATATAGGATACTTTTTACCGCGGAAAAATATCTCATTTCTGAGAAAAAATACAAAAACTGCAATGTAAGAGTATACTAATGGGTATGTAAAACTTAAGAATTTGGTTTTTAATCATCTGAACGCGGGGAGCCCCGGGCTATGCTAGTTTTATATAAAATTTAACAAAAAAAATTAGTAATCTTATCTCTATTGAAATTTGAAATGTATGTTGTATTTTTTCTTAATACATCTGCCACGGGTTTGCTATTTTAGTAAAATATTTAATATTTGTTAAATGCTTAACCAATTTTTAACGAATCTTATAAAGTTCATTTCATCATACCGGTATCATTAGCTAAACTTCCCCATTAGGTAGGTAGGTAGGTACTCTTTAACTTTGAAGTTGAAAATGGGGAATATTTCGGAACGCAAAAGAAAATTTGTCTTTCATCTCGACAAAATGGTTTCAAAACATAATCAGCAAAAGTAAAAGGTTGCTCTCAACAAAAACATCCGGCATTTTCATTGAAAACAGATGAATCGCTTAGACATTTAACCCCATCGTTTATTTAGCGACATGTAAAACGGGGATAGGAAAACTGAAGCAGTCACAAATACTTTTTGTACAAATAAGGCGAGTTCACCCGTTTATTTACTGTATAGTGTACACGAATAAAGGCAATTGTACTAAAAACTACTATTTACCTACCTAATTTGAAAAGTTTTTTATGGTATAGTATTATATGATCTGTGGTTATACTAACTACTTACTACCTTAAATAAAATCAAAATTGATTATTTCTTGTTCGTTTTCACAGAAAAAATATACAAATTTGAAGAAAACAGATCAAAAATATATATTTAATAATACATAATAATATTATTATTTTATAAAAGCTTGAAAAATATTTATAAAAATTAAAAACACATTCGTTATAATATGTAGCTTCTGCCATCTATGATCTACTGGGGACAACTAAAAAGCAGAGTTTCAATATAGTGCTATAAAATATAAAATTATTTATACTATTTTTATAAATTATATTAAAATTAAGATTAAATTTCATAGTACTTTCACGTGCTGATATTAATATTTTGAAATCATATTATATAATTCATTTGATTTTTAAATATGGCTATAACAAGTGACATTTCATTATTTTGGCTGTTGGATTTTGACAGTTACAATCGCGCGGCAGTGCGGGAAAATAACCTAAAAGATATTGTATTTTTACGAGTTTTTAAAATTAATTTAACTGTAACTATAGTTGTTATAAGTATTTTTAAATATTAAATGTGCTCTTAAACTGTATGTGCTAGTGCTGATATAAGGAAAGTAGTTCTCGTCTGGAGTGAACTTTATTTTTGAAGTTGTGTTTACAAAAATAACAAAGTCAATATCTCTTAAAAGTATAAATAAAATAGAAACGTCTTATCAATTATAATTATATTATCAACTTATTTATGTAATTTTAATTATATATATCTACAGTATACTTAAATACTCTATTGTAATATTTGTGTAAATAATGATAATATTCATTTAATACTAAAAATATTTAATATTTTCAATAAAATACTAGCTAAGTGTCATTTAATAAACAACTTTTAATTATATTTATTTATCATATGAGTTATTATATATCTTACTTATTTAATTTTAATAAAACAATATTTAAAAAATCTCACTTCCTTTAACTAATAGGATTTCTAAATTTGCCAATCGTTACAAGATGGCAAATCTGTGTGATAAAATAAAAAGTGACTCAAGTCTGGATGAAAATCCAGTAAAGAAGTTAAAATTAAGTGACGACACAGATCTTTCTAAAGATAAAAGGACTGTAGCAACTATGTGTGGCGCTTGGAGGCCTGAAGAAGAAGATGGTGGACTTATCTTTGTTTTTAAAACTAGAACCCCAGCGTTGAGTCCTGATCCTACTAAAGAATGTGATTATCCAGAGAACATAGAAGACTTTTGGGAAGGGAGTTTCGTTAACACAGATATAATACAGGTATTTACTTTTTATGACTATTGATAATTTTAGATTAATTAAATTAATTTGTAAATTTAATATTAAAAGAAATTGTACAGGCATTTTATTTGAGGTTTGGATCAGCGCCATCTCTTAAAGTAAAACGGAATTTCGTTGTGTATTGGAAAAAAGGACAAGCTACTTCAATGTAATCATTATAGATGGCGCTGTTTCATATTATATTCAAAATACACCTGAAATACGTAAAATACGTTCATCCTCACAAAATCTATATTAATTTAATACCTACTTATATTTATAATTTTTTATTTTCATTTGCGTATATTTTTTTTGTATTAAGTAATTTTAACTTATCGTGATGTGTAAGATATCAAATAGATGGCTCTGTACAGTGTGTCATATGAAAATTAAGGTATGTAAAGAAAATCTTTTATAAATAATAATATTGTAATATTTTTATTAATAACACTAAAGCTCGCCAATGGCTACTAAACAAAAAAAAAAAAGAAAATCCGTTGACAAATAGAGAATAAAAAGGTACTTAACTGTTTTGTCTTTGCCTAAATTATTAATCATGGACGAAGTGTGGTTAATTCGTTCATGTAATTAATCATGGACGAATTGTGGTCGCTCATGTTATTAATATATAGACTCTGCCTCGGTGTTGTAGTGGCTAGCATGTACGGCTGCACACCCGGAGGTCCTGGGTTCGAGTCCTGGGTCGGGCCAAGTTTAGTTATTGAGTCTTCCTGTATAGTAAGTCTCAGTAACAGTCCGGAGTTGGGAAGTTGGCGGTGTTTCACCCCCGTGCCTCGGAGAGCACGTAAAGCCGTCGGTCCTGCGCCTTAACTCTCACCGGTCGTGTCGAGTGGTCGTCCCACCGGAGTATGAGAGTGATAGGAATAGAGAGTGCACTTGTGTCTGCGCGTACACTTGAGCACTATAATATCTCCTGCGCAGTTGGCTAATCTCGTTGAGATTGGCCGCCGTGGCCGGAATCGGCTAGGAGAACATCATCATCATCATCAATATATAGATTAAGGATAAAATATTAAGGAGATACAATAAACACATAATAAGGATGTATACTACAGTAATAATACTAAAAAATAAAAATACTATAATAAAATAAATTATACTTAAAAGGTGTTTCTTACATACTGTTAACTCACACCATCCGCGTCATTGGGCTTGCAATCTATCAATTAGATAGGGTTGTAAAAATCCCTGAACCGGTCTAATTTAGATTCATTAGCTTTCGATTCATTAATAGTTTTCTATTCGGTTTCGTACTGTTTTGCTTTGTAATTGAAACCTAAGCAGCATGGAAAATAAATAAGTAAATATGTTGGAACATTAACACCCATCACCATTTAGTTTTATGGTAAGCTACGAGGCTTGTGCTATGCATAGATAGTTGATACAATACACAATTATAACTTAAAATACATACATATTATAAATATAAACACCCATGACTGGAGTACAAACATTCGCGCTCATCACATAAAGGAATGCCCCCAGCGTAACTGGAACCCGTGACCATTGGCACAGCAAGTAGGGCAAGCAAAGTGAGCCAAACGTGTCATCAATGAATTTTTGTTCTTAAAGTATAATATAATAACTATTAACATAGTTTTTCTCTCACAATGTGGTAAAATGTAAAAGAAAACTAATATTACTGTTCTCATAAACTTGATAAGTCTAAAAGCCTGCTGCGTTCGCTCCATGGCGCCGTTAGTTTCTTTGTAATGAAAAGCTTATATGACTTCAGTATAACAATGTGGGTAGTCAATTATTGTATATATACTTGTACCTATTCATATTATTCTCTTCTTAAGATAATCTTGTTAGAGCCATAATGTATACATATAATAAAATTCTGAGTCGAATTTGTACATTCAATATTTTCTGGAAAATCTTATAGTAATAGTCATTATTATCAATACAGAGGCCGAATCTATAGTTTTTGTCTGTCTGTCTGTCTGTCTGGGAACGCATCAAGACAAAACCACAGGTTTTGATGAAATTTGGTATGATAATAGCTGGTCATCGGGGTCTGCATGTAGGATACTTTTTACTGCAGGAAAATATCTCATATCTGAGAAATCTATACTAAACGTTCCGACCCGAAACCCGAACGGAGCGAGGGTGAGTCGCTAGTCTATACTAATATTATAAATATGGAAGTTTTTGTGTATGGATGTGTGGATGTTTGTTACTCTTTCAAGCAAAAAATACTGAATAGATTTTAATGAAACTTTACAATAATATATATAGCTCATACTTCAGAATAACACATAGGCTACTTACTTTACTATCCCGGAAAAATGTATGGTTCCCGTGGAATAGATCTGTATTTGTTTACCCAGAGGCAAACCCGAGCGAAGTGAGGGTGACCCGTTAGTCTATAATAATTGCAAAAGTTTGTACGTGTGTAAATGTGTTTTACGTACGTAAGTACGTATTTTGATGAAGTAAGTAAAGTACATACAAGTTTAGACTTGAAATAACATAATAGTTATATTGTATTTATTATATGTATACACTAACAATAACTTTAATAATCAAGTTTTCCTCAGGTGGTTCAACCTATATGATGTTCTCCTAGCCGACTCCGGCCACGGCGGCCATCTCAATGAGATTAGCCAACTGCGCAGGAGATATTATAGTGCTCAAGTGTACGCGCAGATACAAGTGCACTCTCTATTCCTATCACTCTCATACTCCGGTGGGACGACCACTCGACACGACCGGTGAGAGTTAAAACTCAACCTATATATTATACCTGTGTATAATATTATGTTGGGACAGTAACACACAGCACCATCTAGTTCCATGGTAAGCTACGAGGCTTGTGTTATGGATACCAGATAGTTGATACACTACACATATATAACTTTAAATACATACATATTAAATATAAACACCCATGACTGGAGTACAAACCTTCATTATGCATTATAGGTAAGGAATTTAGGGACGTACCTGAGCGAAGCGAGAGTAAATCACTAGTTATACCAATTTTAAATTAATTTCGTTACTAAGATAGTGTCAAAATGTATTTTATTAGTTTTACTTACTTGTAACTTAACTTAAATCTTGTAAGTCGATTTTAACTTCTTCTCATAGTCGGATCGATTTGAAACTTTCTAAGTAAATGAAGTCCCAGAAGACCTTACAATAATTTGATTCCATCGAAACGATCTGATTGAACCAGTAGGTTGTTTGTGGAGTGTGGACTTCACCCGATTCGTTATGGAATACTATACATTACAGTTGTTGTAATTATATTATTATTTATATTAAAAAAAACACATAAATAACATGCAAAATTCAAATCGGTATGTCCCTATTACTTTCTAAGATTTACGCGAATATTTGACATCTATACTAATATTATAAAGAGGTAAAGTTTGTCAATTGTGAGTTTTTGACGTTGTAAGGTGTGATCTCTGGATCTATTGAACCGATTTAGATGAAATTTGGTAAGAACCTACTTTGAGACCCTGGGAAGGACATAGGATACTTTTTATCCCGGAAGTCATCCCTTAAGGGGTGAAAATGGGGATGAAATTGAAATTTAGTATGGGGAATCAACTTTAAATAAAACGGTATAGGTTTAAATAAGTTGGTATATCGAGTGTGATGCGGCGAAGTAGTTGCACGTAATATCACATTTAACGATCTATTATCTTTTTTTTTTAAATACCCTCATTATAAATGTAAAATAAAATGGGTGAAAAAAGTATAGGAAGTGAGATACGCTATGAAATTGAGTGTGATGAGGTAGATAGAAATACTGTAGATGACCAACAAATAAATGAAGAGTTGATTTGGGCTAATGAGCAGACTCCGACGAAATCTCCTATCTTAAGACCAGAGAAGAGATCAAGGAAAGAAAATTCAGATAAAGAAGATGAAAATGGCTTCATTACCGTGGGAAAACACCCAAAAAGATTAGCGCGGAGAAAGATTCACAGAGTGCAGATAAATCAGAAAATTTGTACGAAATTTCCATGACCTCCAAAGAACCACTGCCGAAACAAATTGGTTTAGCTAAGTTTATGCGTTCTTTAAATATACCCAATATAATAAAAATAAAATATAAAAATCCATATAAAGTTTTGATACAGTTAAATACAAAATTTGAAGCGGAAAAACTTTTAAACTCCGAAAAAATTAAGGAAATGGGATACCGATGTCAATCGACACAAGAAAATAACTTGTCATATGGCATAGTTAGACAGGTTGAGCTAGAAGTTAGTGAGCAAGAAATTCAAGAAGCTTTTAAGTGTGATGCTGAGTTAATCTCTGTAAAACGCCTCAAAAGACAAACAGACAAGGGTGACTGGACGGACAGCGAAACAGTGCGACTATGTTTCAATAGTGAGACCGTACCGCCATATGTTTATGGTTATGGGTGTAGATTCAAAATAGAACCGTATATTTTTCCAGTCACACAGTGTTCAAAATGTTGGAAATTTGGCCACTACGTAAGAAGCTGCCCAACAAATAAAACTGTATGCCCTAAATGTGGTGGCAATCATGTAAATTGTGAGACTCACATATACAAGTGTGTTAATTGTAAGGGCCCCCATATGTCTATGGATAAATCATGTTCTGTATTTGTTAAGGAAAAAGAAATTAGATACATTATGAGTCGAAAAAATTATACGTACCGAAAAGCTTTACAACATTATTTAGAAATAGAAAGAAGCAAAAATTCGCACATAAATTTACAAACCGATGAAGAAAACCTAACGAGATCTCAACCAATTGTAACATACAGAGATGTAGTAATGCAAGTTAATGAACAGAAGTCAAGATGTCCTGATAGTTCTGAGGTGTATTCTGATAGTGAAGCAAGTGAAAAAGAAAAGTCAACAAAGTCTAAAAAAACACGTAAAAGAAAAAAGAAAAAAAACAACACAAAACAAACTATGGATTCTAGAAACCAAGAAACGGAGTCAGATGTCGAAGGAGAAAATAAATCTACGGAAGAATATAGTAAAAACAGAGATAGAAAGGAGTTCGCATTTTCATTTAAGAGGCTGTTAATAAAATTAAAAAGTGCAATCTTAGAAGACAGCGTGACCTGGGAAGAAAAAATCTGTGTTTGTGTAAAGATAATATTTAATGAATTGATAAAATTTGTTAGTAGTTTCTTTGAAGGTGGAAAATTTCTGAAAGAATTTTTTAAGCATTTCAGTGATGGATAGAGACTTTAAATTAAATATACTGCAATGGAACGCGCAGAGTTTATATCCAAAAAGATTACAGTTTGAAAACTTACTTAATAGAGAAAGTATCCACATAGCTTTGGTAAGTGAAACTTGGCTTGACTCTGATTTTGAAATTAAATTTAACGAATATTATGTATATAGAAAAGATAGATATGATTCTTATGGTGGTGTAGCTATTTTGGTACATAGATCAATCAAATCACAAAAATGCCCAACAACTTTTAGTAATAATGGTATCGAAATTATTCATGTTAAACTTTATAATTGTAAATATTTACAAAATATTGTCTGCGTGTATTGCCCATCCTCTGTACAGACATCGCAAACTGATTGGAATTGTATATTTTCTGAGTTTTCAAAATCATCTTTAATTGCTGGGGATTTTAATGGGCATCATACCAATTGGTCCTATAAAAATGATACACGAGGCAATCACCTCTTAAATTCTTCAATTGAAAATGATCTTATTTCTCTAAATAATGGTAGCCCCACCAGGGTGAAATTAGTAAATGGTGTTTTAACAGAAACTTCTCCTGATATAACTTTTGTTTCAACAAATATAGCAATTAAATTTAGTTGGACTACACTTAATGAAAATTTAGGAAGCGACCATCTAGTTGTTAAATTTAGTCTGAAATATAAAACTAGTTTTAACTTTACAAACAAAAGAAACTATAAATTGGCTAATTGGGTAGGTTATAAAACATATTTAGAAAGATTGTTTAAACATGTTAAGCATAGTAATGATGTACAGGATATATATGATGAATTTGTAAATCTTATAAACAAAGCCGCCGATGAATATATTCCAAAATATAAAATGTGCTTAAACCCTACACAAAAATTTACACCTAAACGATATTGGACCCCTGTTTTATCGAATCTCGTAGCCCAGAGACGATTAGCCCTGAAGAATCTACGGCGAAATCCTATTCCACAAAATTTAAAACTACTGGAGGATAAACTAAAAGAAGTGCAACTTAAACTTTATGAGGCTAGATCAAATGACTGGCATAATTTTTGTGACTCTATAGATGAAACTAAATCGGATACTGAAATGTGGCATAAAATGCAGTGGATAAAGGGAAGTAAGAACTATCCATCCCTTATAACTGATGTACAAGGTGAAGAACTTCTTTGTAATTTAGCTCCTGATTCAGTACCATTAAATACACCAGAATTTTATTCAAATAACTTGTATTTGGAATCTAACCTAGGTCTACATGAACTAAATTTTTGCATCAAAAAGAAAGATACGGCCCCAGGAGAAGATGAAATAACATACTCTATGATTTTTAATCTTCCAACTAATGGTAAACTGACTCTTCTTAGAATTTACAACCTCATTTTTCTAACAGGTAAAGTCCCTGAACAGTGGCATAAAATTTTAGTAGTGGCAATTCCTAAGGCAGGTAATACGGATAAACTAAGACCTATATCACTTTTGTCATGTTTATGTAAAATTTTTCACGTAATGCTTAGTAAGAGAATGGAATGGTTTGTAGAGAAAAATAATATTTTAGCACCTAATGTTACAGGATTTAGACGAGCTCAATCCAGTTTAGACTGTTTAATCAGATTAATTACACAAATACAAATTGGATTTTCGAAAAATATGCCAACCTTGGCATGCTTCCTTGACATTGAAAATGCATATAATAATATTTTGATACATAAAGTTTTAGAAATAATAGATAATTTAGGTATGGGAAGTAAATTCTGTATATATTTATGGAATTTCTTAAGTGAAAGACAACTAAGCATCAAAAATATTGTTAATAATAAAGAGAAAACTAGAAGGACAAACAAAGGCCTAGCCCAGGGTGACCCTCTGTCTCCACTGCTTTTTAATATTGCTACGCATAAAATTCATCAACTAATTAAAAATGTCTTCATATGTCAGTATGCTGATGATTTTGTTTTGTTTTCACATCATGGCCAAATAAGCGAAAGCAAAATTAGTATTCAGGAGGCATTAAATTTGTTTGTCACATTTCTAGATCATATAGGATTAGAGTTATCAACTAGTAAGTCTAAGCTGTGCACTTTTAGTAGGAAGCGACGGAATGATCATGTTACAGTCAGCGTTAATAATAACACAATTACTTCTACAAACCATATTAAATATTTAGGAATGTGGCTAGATCGATCTCTTTTATGGAATAAACACATAAGTGAGTTAGCTCAAAGAGCAACAAAAAGTTTAAATATGTTAAAAATGTTAACTGGACCTTCGTGGGGAGTTCACCCAAAATATTTAAGAAAATTATATATATGTCTAATAAGAAGTAAAATTGATTACGGTTGTTTTTTCTATGATAATAGTGCAAAAACACACCTAAGTAAATTAGAAATTATTCAAAATCAAGCTTTGCGGTTAATTGGGGGATTTATTAAATCTACACCTATTCATGTAATGGAGTATGAACTTTGCATTCCACCCTTATACTTAAGAAGATATTACTTGGCTGTGAAATTCTGTTTTAAATTACGAACTTGGTCAAACAATAT